TTCTAAATCCAGCACTGACTATTGCCTTAATGAAATCGTTGTACAATCAAATAACAAGATATACATTGTAAGATATTATATTAATTATGAATCGTATTCTATTAAATAAGTTATGTATATAATAGGCCTATGGTATTCTCAAATTGCACAAACAAAATCATGAAATGTTAAGCTTTCGACACAAGCCATCCTATTATTCTTCGAAAAGAAACTATCGATGTTTACTGATCTCCTTTATGCATATATTTTTTTTTATTCGAGCTATCCAACACCTTTCCATTACAGAGATGCAATCGACGCTTTACTGTCGCCGTACCTTGTAAGATTTGCAAACTTATGGATGTAAAGATGCTGTTGTGGTATTTATTTATTTATTTATTTATCTGAAATATGGGCATACGGTTCAGGAAGGTATAGGATCATGTTGGCCAAAGGAAGGTCGTGGAAATGTTAAAGTTGTTGGAGACGACATATACTTGGCTCGTTGGCGCTAGTCGCTGGCTCACAGCATGGAATGTATTGAGGTCCTGGGTCCGGTCTTAATATTCTCAAAGATAGACCCTTGGAATCCTCTTGTCAGACTTCGACTTCCTGTTGTCAGAAGGTGTGAAGAGGAAAACCGTAACTGAATGGAATGAAAATCCGAGATCGCGTCTCTTTGAATGACATTCCTAGACAGTCGAATATCGAAAAAGTGTAGTTCTGCGTTCCCATGGCACTTTGAAGAGCATAATTATAATACCCCACTTAAACTCTCAGGCATATTCTTTAAAAACTCCCCAGTGCTAACCAATCCATTAATTATACATCAAAACTTATTTGAATTGGAAATATTCTCTAAATTTAAGTTTTAAGTTTGCTTTATTTCATGAACCTCTATTATCTTGACCTACTTTGTTGCATATTGTCTCTTTAATTAATCACTAATCCGTTTACATTATTCTACCCGATACAAGAAAATAATTGAAAAGTAATTGATTTCGTACAAAAGTAAAAAAAAAACTAAATTGAAAATGTAGACCTATACTTAAACATTTATAGAGAAAATGGAAAACGATGCTTTCAGACAAGTTTTACAACATGCGTAAAAGGCGTGACAGCGATGTTAAAAAAGTTATGGCGAAGAAAAGAATAATTCCGCTGTCGAATAATCTGCAGTAACAGAATCTCCATCATCATTAACAACAGCACAAGCAACGGCATCATCATCATCACCATTAGCATCATCATTATCAACAGCACTAGTAACGGCATCATCATCATCACCGTTAGCATCATCATTACCAACAGCACTACGGCATCATCATCGTTATCACCATTAGCATCGTCATTACCAACAGCACTAGTAACTGCACCATCATCATCATCACCATTAGCATCATCATTACCAACAGCACTAGTAACGGCATCATCATCATCATCATCATCATCATTATTAGGAACAGCATCCTACTGAGGTTTGAATACCAGAGAGGTAAGATATGGATGATCAATGAATCAACTAAAAAACTCCAAGATATGGATGATCAATGAATCAACTAAACAACTCCAAGATATGGATGGTCAATGAATTGACTAAACAACTAAACAACTCCAAGATATGGACGATCAATGAATCAACTAAACAACTCCAAGATATGGATGATCAATGAATCAACTAAACAACTCCAAGATATGGATGATCAATGAATCAACTAAACAACTCCAAGATATGGATGGTCAATGAATTGACTAAACAACTAAACAACTCCAAGATATGGACGATCAATGAATCAACTAAACAACTCCAAGATATGGATGATCAATGAATCAACTAAACAACTCCAAGATATGGATGATCAATGAATCAACTAAACAGCTCCAAGATATGGATGATCAATGAATCAACTAAACAGCTCCAAGATATGGATGATCAATGAATCAACTAAAAAACTCCAAGATATAGATGATCAATGAATCAACTAAACAACTCCAAGATATGGATGATCAATGAATTGACTAAACAACTAAACAACTCCAAGATATGGATGATCAATGAATCAACTAAACAACTCCAAGATATGGATGATCAATGAATCAACTAAACAGCTCCAAGATATGGATGATCAATGAATCAACTAAACAACTCCAAGATATAGATGATCAATGAATCAACTAAACAGCTCAAAGATATGGATGATCAATGAATCAACTAAAAAACTCTAAGATATAGATGATCAATGAATCAACTAAACAACTCCAAGATATGGATGATCAATGAATCAACTAAAAAACTCCAAGATATAGATGATCAATGAATCAACTAAACAACTCCAAGATATGGATGATCAATGAATTGACTAAACAACTAAACAACTCCAAGATATGGACGATCAATGAATCAACTAAACAACTCCACGATATGAATGATCAATGAATCAACTAATAGTCTGGAGGCTCAGTGCGGAGAGGTGTCAATCAAATGAGTAAACTTTTGCGTAGAATACAATGCCGGGTGGTAATCGGTCCGCCGTTGGGGCGTTTTCGAGATATTCGGGGTCAAAGGCCAAATGAGGTCATTTGCACTGAAAGGGAATGCGCAGCCATTCTTATATCACGAAAACATGCTGAAAATGATCGAAAGTAATCAACCTTTCAATAAAAATGTTAGCTTGCTAAATTTACCTGTTCTTTGTGCCCCCTGGGGCCAAAAGGTCAAATTGTCAGTTTTTGCACTAGGAAGATTTAAAGCAATAAAATGTCAGCGTAAAATATAAAAACTAAAGCTAAAAACTTATCTTTAGGTGGTTTTAGCACCGTACATTTAATTTGGAACGTCGAAAAAGATCTTGCATAACAGAATCAAAACACTACGAACCCCGCCCCCCGCACTTAGCCTCCGGTCTATAACCAACGCCAAGATATGGATGATCAATGAATCAACTAAACAACGCCAAGATCTTATTGGAATAAAAATGAGAATGGACTTGACCTTTCCTGATCGTCGCAAAGCCATAATACAAGACATAATCTCTCACAACAAATTAAAGAAGATTCCCCATGCCTGTTGCACGAGGATGAAGTTAGTTTTTATTTTACATTTTATGAACGTCTTCATATTGTAAACTCCTCGCCGTAGGGGTAATTACTTCTCAATGTCCACAAGACATTTTCATGTGCAATTCTGAAATATTTCGACAGACCACGGTAGAGAAAAGCCGGCAGTAAGTGTTATCACCTTGATAGGTGTATATTTCCGCCAACGGTTGTACAGTATGCGAGACACTGCGGGGCGAGAGCCTAAAATAATACAACTTCTACAAACCTCGAGTTCTCCCAATATTATTTCGTATTATTACACCGATTCGTAGCCTACCAAATGTTTCAGATATGCCCCCACCCAGCTGTTTTGTAATTTTCGTTCGAGTAGGCTTAACCATTGGATGGCTTCTATATTTTTAGGTCTATAATGATCAAAATGTTTTTTCCCCCAGATTTTAAATGAATTTCATAGTCTAACGTCAAATAACATTGATAAACTAGTGATTTGTCGATAAAAAGTTCCCAGAATGGTTGAAAGAAAATGGAACTAAGATTCTAGAGTTAAAACCATCTCAACCGAAGGTACGCCCGTTTTCACTATCCCAGTTGGAGCACAACAGTAGGAAACGCCTTTAATTTCATTGCATTCATCGTTTTCCGAAGGTCTGTACCGCCACCTTCTACTGACTAGGTCGATCGCGTAAATTATTAATTTTCGTCCTAGTCCGGACTTTTTTCCGTATGCAAATGAGTATGTATATGTTCTAATATGCTAAATTCTGTTATGCATTTGGCTATTATGCAAAATGCAGAACGGAGAAGTGTAATGTGCAAAATAACTATTATACTGTATAATTGAAAAGTGTATTCTGTATTTTAACACTGTGACATTGGTATTGTGGAGCAATGGAAATTGCAAATTGTAAAACTAAAATACGTATATTGAACTGCTGACATATGCAGTTTGTATAGTGAACATTGAAATAATATTGGCAACGTTATCCTTCCATACAGAAATGCCATTTGATACGACTTAGTATTTTTACAACAAATTATAAATTTACTGTCAAATAGTGGCCACATCGGTTGTTGACTCATTCAAAATCACAGGTGACCACACCCCTGTTTGGTAATAGTATATGAGAACCTATTCTGTGAATAGTTGTGTTCATGTAAAAGACCCCTTGAAAGTTGAAATCTGATGGTAATTTTTCTAATATAAAAAAAAGCACATCTACGGATATAACCACTTTCGTTTATAGATACGCATTCCAACAAAAGTATTTATTGGTTAGTTATTACCAATAAAAGTATGACAATTTTGTTATTTATCGAAATTAGGGACACCCAATTTTACTAGACAAATACTGGATTCTATGAAAAACGCCAATGGGTCGGATACAAGAAGAAATGTGAGGTAAGGGGTGAGAGAAATAAACATCCAGTAGACTGCGATTAAACGGCGGATGAAAATGTTTGCAGAAAATAATCCCGGAATTTTCTTAGGCTTCGACAGTGATGCAGGACGGAGGGCCTGACAAGGACAGTTGTCTAGTCGTTCCGATGGGACCAAAAACCGAGGGCCCGTGTACTCATTGGCGTGCACGTAAAAGATCCCTTGGCAGTTGGAATTCGATATAAGAGTAGGCCGTAGCGCCGCTGCCCGGGCAAAATTTCCCTCATAGCACACTGTATGGCGTATGCCCGTCTTCATTAGCCCAATATTATTGAATAATATGTTTTAGTCCAAATATATCACACGAAGGAATGCATCTTTAACAACAACGTTTTGTAACAAACGTGAATAACGGTTTCAAGATAAAATAATGCCCAGAGCAGAGAACACTATTCGGTCTTTGTTTTAATTAAGGAAATATTTTTGCCATTCGACTTTTACCGATCTCTGAACATGATGACATAAGAACCTTTAGAGATAACAATAATCTATTATTACCTATTTATCTTATCTGATAAATAATAAAATACGTAGCGACGATAGCCTAATCTTACATTAGAATATTACACCTTGTCTTGGAGCATTCAGACTTGTGATTTTCTGCTACATAAAAAGGTAAGTTATAGCTCGTCAATACGAATATTATTAACAACAAACAGGGGTGAAAATAGACTAGTTTAATCTGCTTGACTTTACCGTCTAAACTGACTGGCGCAATATTACTTGTTTATTTGGCTTGCGGCGTGCACTTTTCACCCCCTTCTTGGGTAAATTACAACCGACGTACACACGTAATTACTTACTAACATATGACCAGAAACGTTAGAAACATTAGTAACTTTAGCTGGTATGGCTAATTACTCCCATGCTAGGATTAGTAGATCTTTTGCCGTCAGAGTAGAATACACAGGGAACGGCAGAGTATAGTAGAAGTACAATCGGTGAGTTTGTCGGTGTAGATTTTGCACCCACGATAAACAGGTTCTCGTAAAATGGCCCCCGCAAAGGAAATTTTTGCCATCCAACAAATTCCAAATATAAATTTAATGTAAAGTTCTAGGCTCAAGTTCAGGATGTGATGCAAATACAGAAATGAAATGAAACGGGGTTTAGCGTCCTGTTGTTCTCCTGCGACTGTGTAAATACAAGAGACCATAGATTGCTGCAGATCAAAGAAAAGCACGGCACAATCGTTTGAAAAGAATTCTAGAACCGATAGCTGTTTTAAAAGAATGTTGTTTTCCCACGTTTCAATCTCCAAGCATGTAGGCCTAATTGTTCCTTCTTTAATTTGCTACCGTATCTTCAATTCAGATGTGTATTTGTTGGCGAATACCCTTCCATTAATAACAATGCTTTTAGATGGACAATTTAGATGGGCCTTGAATTTACATGACGGGTGTCATGGTATAAAAAACGAAACGAAATATAGATCTGTATTTGAATTAGATTGGGTGAATTATCTCCAGTTTCAGAATGAAGTTCTATCTATTACCGTTGCTGATATCCCTGGCAGTAAGGTAAGTATCATCTTTACGTATCACACATATCGCCTTAATTAAAAAATTATGCACTTTTAAAATTCAAAATGACCAAAATATATAAGAAATATTTGGTATTGCGGCATATATGTATACAAACTTTGTCTAATCAAAGAACACCCAATCCCCACCCCTCCCGTGCAAGACCCCCCCCCCCCCACTTATTACACCGCCCCACCCCAACGGAAGAAATCAATAGCATCCATAGGCACAGCTCTAGTAAAATAGACCTACCGACTTATTGAATTTCATCAACCGATTGACCCGATGCTGTTGAAAGTGTCTAGATTTAGTTCTATAATTAAGGTGTCTCTGTCCTATTGGGCAGTTTGGTTCGGCTACTTGGTACAAGGGACCAGAGTAAAACTTTATTCGTTATATATCTATTTGGTTCCTGGTTTTCATTGTATTATGAAACCTATATTTTATAACAACAAGACCTGACACAAACTTGACTAACGAGCTTTTCAACAACCGAATTGTTCAGTATTTTTGATTTATTAAATATTTCCCGTTTTTAACTATACATTAGTTAAGAGTTTTAAAAAGAGTTGACCATTCTTGCTATAATAAATCGAAAATAGATGATAAAAAAAGAAAATGTTGAAAATTTCAGTCAAATTACTTTGAACGGAATTGTCACTGTTAGAAGTTTGGACTAGAAATAGGCATCAATTGTGTCTTCACCGTCTATGAGAATTGGCGATCGTTTGATTGACAAACGATAACTCCACCCACATATTCTCGATTATCAAGTAACATGCTCAATGGCTATGGTAGCCTCGCTTGGCAGGCTTTTCATCGCCAGTTTCCGGTTGTGACATCAGCGAGTAACGGTAAACGTTAGCTTGGTCCGCCATTTATTGATTCAATTTTAAATGGACGAGGCTGTTTAAATCCAAACTGCATCCAAGCCATCCGTGGATATACAGAGTTGATTTTAAGCTTGTCGTGTAAATAAAGGTCTAATTAATAATTTCTATGACATCTTAAACCTAAATAAAGACTTGCAATAGGCAGATTTAGCTCTTGCATAATGTATGTTTAAGTTTGATACCTCATTATTGGGTTTATTTTGGTTTGTTTAGTGCATGTATTGTATATTAGGTATTTCTACCACTGTACTTGCAACAAACTGGGTATCGTGTGAAACCGCTACACTATTACATTGACTTTTACCTGTACTTGCAACATTGTTAAACTGGGTTTCTTGTGAAACCGCTACACTATTAAATTGCCTTTAAAAAAATGGGAATAAGGCCAAAAAGGCGACAGGCCAACTGAATGTGGTTGTCATAAATACAAACGCTTTATAGGTGAAGGAAACCGGTCATAAGGGACTACTCTCAGTTGTAAATCCCCCCCCCCCCCTAAGAGAAACGTCATAGATCACCATACTCCTCGCAGTGTTTCGTTTGATTAGAGCAGTGGTTCTTATTGTTGTGCGATCTGGTACGATACGATCAATACGATTGCTGCGACTGACCACAATATATGATAAGACCTGATAGGATCACCAAGATTACTCCACGATTAAAACCACGATTTCAATCCTAGCACGAATCATTATAGTGGGAACCTGGCATTAAACCCATCCCAGACAGGGATTTCTCGAATCATTATTTCAGGAATATGTAGAGCACGTCCTCACAGGTTGAAGCTACTAGATCCTATGTAGCCTTTAAATGTTCTTTATATTATCATTTCAAAATATTTTTTTCAGCAATATTGACGAATGGAGACCAATTTTTAGAGAGAATTTTGTTTCTATGGATACCAATAAAAATGGTGTTGTAGATATTCAAGAATATTCTGCTCTTTTTCTAACACACGACACCAATGGTGAATATTAACCTATGTCCTGATTTAAAATTAAATTAAGCAATCACCATTCTGTTCGTTGACTTATCCAATTATAATTTTTTGGATGCAATCTGATTAAAATGCAGATCCTATTTCGTTTCGTTTTTTATAGTTCAAAATTTCGATTAACTTGTCTTCATAATTAATCAATGTCTGACGTCATGGGGTCAAAAGCCTCTCGTATGACCCCTGACGCGACCTTCCACTAGAACTGGTGAGATCTTCATGTAGTGTAGGCCATCGAAAGTATAACAAAACCGAAATGAAATATAGATTGGAGTTAGTGGTACCCTTAGTAACAAAGAGTGATGAGTGTCGAGGAATGGCCGAAATATGACAAAAATAACACGATGATACGACAGAGTAAAGTGTCGTGTGATTGCGTCAATAGATCTTCATGTAGTGTAGGCCATCGAAAGTATAACAAAACCGAAATGAAATATAGATTGGAGTTAGTGGTACCCTTAGTTACAAAGAGTGATGAGTGTCGAGGAATGGCCGAAATATGACAAAAATAACACGATGATACGACAGAGTAAACTGTCGTGTGATTGCGTCAATACTTTCGTGATGTCGTGTTGTCGCGTTATCAAAGGGGGGGGGGTCACGTGGCTAAGTGGGTAAGACGCTGGCTCGCTAGCCTGGAGGTCGGGTGTTCTATCTCTGCATTGGTCGAGAAAGTTCATCCCGATTTTCCGGCGTGGTTTCCCCTTGTCAGTGATGCATAACGGAGGACCTGACAAGGACAGCTGTCTAGTCGTGCGGATGGGACGAAAACGAAAAACCGAGGTCCCGTGTACACATTGGCGTGCACGTAAAAGATCCCTTGGCAGTTTGAATTCGATATAAGAGAAGGCCGTAGCGTCGCTGCCCGGGCAAAATTTCCCTCATAGCACACTGTATGGCGTATGCCCGTCTTCATTAGCCCAGGTTAGGAGCAGAACAGTAAGACGTTAAACCCCATTTCATTTCATTTCATTTCATTTGTTATGAAAAGAGCGAGATTTAACATGGCCACTATCAGTCACCATACTTGGCACGTTTGAGGTTTTTCAATCATTTCCTTTTTAAGGTGACAAAACCATAACTCTAGATGAATATCTAAAAGATGAACCACTGGATGAGAACAAAGCCGTACTTACAGCGGAGTTCCATCACTATGACAACAACAAAGATGGCGTCGTCGATATAAAAGATCTTCAGACAGATTTTGATAAAATTGATACTAATGGTGAGATTGCAAATTCTAAAACACTACGTTCAATCTCTTGTGTCATTGTGCTTCGAGATTTATTAATTCCAGCGGGGTTGGATGGCTGAATGGTTAGTGTGTGCGCGCTGTATCATAAAGTCAACTGGCGTCGTTTCGATTCCCCAGTTGTACATGACAAGGAGTGAGTAGGATCGCCTGTCCATAAACCATACGTTAGTCCCGAAATGACCTAGTTTGTGGACGTTAAACCCCATTTCTCTCTTTCTCTCATTAATTCCAGCCCAAACCCTAAAACGTCACGTGCTAAATCTATTCATTCCATGCAATATTAGCGAACCAATAACCCATTAACCGGTTAATAATATGCTCGCAACTAGTAGGTCTACCTCTGGCGTAACGATATAATGTCCATTAATAAAGTTGGAACCACGGTGTCTCGCATATTCCTGAAGCAATGGTTCGTGAAATCTCCTGATCGAGAATTGGTCTAATCGAACACTGCGAGGAGTAACTACGTCATATCTTTTGACGAAAAACCGAGGCCCTGGGTACACGTTTCTTCCCCAGCATAACCAAAGTCGAGGACTTTATCTTGCTTATAAACCGTCTATGTTTACATGTACGCAAAATGGGAATATCCCAGAATATATCGTGTTTTGTTATGGATAAAGAAACCTACCCTGGAAGAATAACCTGTTACAGGTTTAAAGAAAAAATTTCAGAAGAATAACCCCAAATTCTCCTGTTTATACTCAAAGCGATCCTCGACTTTCAGACCGCAAGTTATTCCGAGCATAGAATATACCCCAAAGATCACAGCGCTTTACCGTTATACGTTTACAAGTATTGCGACCACGTCCATGCACAGTCAAAACAATTATATTTGTCGTTTGTTATTTCAGATGACAACCTTGTGGAACAGAATGAGTTCGTCGTCTTTGCTGAAAATGTAATGTGTACAGTTTTTTTTATCTTTGGTTATAGACAATCTGTTAGTCAATGTTTTTTTCAGACCAGATGGACGGGGATGACTCGAATTCTGTCCTTCAAGCGCACAGAAGCATGTTTTCGTGGTTGTTAGGATGGTCTCATTCATACCCCTTACGATATACTAACCAATTCCTTTTATTTGGTGAAGGGTGATGACCGAATCGTTAGCACATGCGCGTTGTATCATTAGGTCTGTCATTGAGTCAACTGGCGTGGTTTCGAATCCCTGGTTGTACGTGACAAGGAGTAGGGTCGCCCGTCAAACCTCGAGGGTTTTCTCTGGGTCCTCCGGTTTCCTCTCAATGCTGAAGTGCTGAATTGTTGAAATAAAATTGAACCATAAATGTTAGTCCCGAAATGACCTAGTTTGTGTCGAGTGGACGTTAAACTCTCTCTCTCTTTATTGCAGTTATATTTGGTTCAAGGTCACCCGGCGTTCGGTAAATAAAAATGCAGTCCCAGGACACCAAAAAGCCTAAATAAAGAGATTTTATTGCGTTGTACTTATTATATTTTTGTTGGACTGGACACACAGAAAATGGAAACGCCCTAAGATATACACACCGGAAGTAGCATAATTGAAGGGAATCTTTGGTAGTCTGGTTCCAAATATGGTCACAAATCGTTTTCGAGAGGCGCGGTGGCTAAGTGGGTAAGACATTGGCGTGCACGTAAAAGATCCCTTGGCAGTTGGAATTCGATATAAGAATAGGTCATAATGCCGCTGCCCGGGCAATAATTTCCATCATAGCACACTGCATGGCGTATGCCCGTATTCATTAGCCCAGTTGGAGCAGAAAAGTAGGACGTTAAACATTTGAAATTCCGAAAGAATGGACTTGTGTGGACGAGCGATGAGTGATCACTTTCTTCAATATTTGTGTATAGTTTTATTTTGTTCGTAATAGGTTCAAGAAAGGGAAATGAAATGAACTGAAATGTGGTTTAACGCCAAACTGTTCTGCTCCGGGCTAAGGAAGATGGACATACGCCATACGATGTGCAATGGGGTAAATTTTGCCGGGACAGCGGCACTGCGACCTACTTTTATAACGAATTCCAACTGCTAAGGGATCTTTACATGTACTCCAATGTGTACCCGGGTCCTCAGTTGTTCGTCCCATTCTAACAACTATACATTGTCTCTTGCCGGGCCCTCGGCCCTGTACACTGACAAGGAGGAACTACGCCGGTTTACAAATGTAAAATATAATTCATCTATTCAAGGCCGTCGCCGTTTGAAAACATAATTTTACAGGGGTCAGGGAGGTCATCTAAATCCGAAGCGAGCCAACATCTTACTTACTGGGCCACCGTGGCTCTCCCAAGAAAGGGGATGAATTCAACAGTATAAATAAAAACGCGTGCAGAAAATGGGCCATTCATCTTAATCTTTTCAAGTTCTCACATCTCATGTATTTTTTAGATACTTCAATCGAAGCTTAATGTAACATTCTTACAGCGCCACCAGGCGGATTAGTTCTGTCGGTACCAATTGGATCATTACTAAAGTCTGCTTACTACAAGTACGCTCAGATAACAAGACCAAACCATGGGTTGACGATCTGTATTTAGTAACTTATTATGGGTCAGAAACCGGACCAAAAGCGCCAATCATCCCGCCATCCTTCTGCTTCTTGTTCTTGGCTTCGATGCTCTTCGAAAAATGCCTAAAGTTCCGCCAATTCCTTTACGATTGACATTATTGTTCTTTGAACAATTGTGCATCGATTAAAGGACTTATATTGCGGCGATTAAGCCATGCTGGGTTCCTGGGCACCTGTTTCTCGAAATCTTAAAGATGGGTTCCCAGAAAAGTATTTATTGGGTGGTTATTTCCAATAAAAGTATGGCAATTTTGGTATATATGGAAAGTAGAGATATCCAATCTTACTAGAAAAATACTGGATTCCCCGAAAAATACTCATGGAGCGTATACAGGACAAAAATGTAAGGGTTTCCCTAATCAACAGCCGACGATTAGGAACTTCTGCACGCGTGATGTCAAAGGTCACAAGCGAACATTGAGCGCTTGATGTACAAGTTGATAAACTTTATGAAGAGTTAGACGTACAATACTTTCTGAGATGAAAATGACGGGAAAAGACGCGGGTAGTGGATAATCCGAGAATTTAATTAGGATTCGATATTTGTAATAAATAGTAAGCGATTAAAGACAACATCGTCTTATGTATGCAATGAATTCTCCTCTGACTCCCAAGACGTGACGTAAACATGACCTGGTTTGATCGAATTTTAATAGCAGGGCATTCCTTCGCAATTACAATGTTTGAGAAGGATTTGAAGCAAAATTATGACAAATTAATTAGTTTGAATATGTTTTTGGTCCATAAATACCATTAAATCACTCAGTTTGTACGCGGGAACCCATCTTTAACTAAAGATAAAATCCAATTTTAGTAGATACTTCAATTTTGATTGGCTAAGCACTATAATCAACCTAATATTATCCAATCAAATTACTAAAATTTTGATTTTATCTTAGTTAAAATTTCGTGAAACAGGCCCCAGATCTATAGTAGGCCTATACTTGTTGAGTCTCTTATTGTATATACTTTCAGGCAGACGGAGGGGTGGGGGGGGGGGGTAGCGCGTGCGTAGGGTCTGTTATTGAGTCAACACCATTGTGGGGGGTGGCCGAATGGTTAGCACGTGCGCGCTGTATCATACAGTCTGTCATTGAGTCAACTGGTGTGATTTCGAATCCCCGGTTGTAGTTGTGCGTGACAAACCCCGTACGTTTTCTCCGGGTCCCCCGGTTTCCCCCCAGTGCTAAAAGACCCCTACGTACATTGAACCATACGTTAGTCCCGAATGACCTAGTTTGTGTCGAGTGGACATTAAACTCCACTTCTCTCTCTCTATATTTATGTCCATAGCCGAATTGACGACCTACTTATGTTTAAAGCAACATCCGCTTTTAATATAGATCTACGTCAGAAATTGACTTATCTTTAATCAAACATACTTCGTGTAAGTGTAAAACATGTTCTTGTAATTATATAGGTTATTATTGGGTAGTCATTGCGACAGTTTGTGTTCGCTGCAATCTGTTTCATAGAGGTATTGCGAAAGCCTTCTTATAACTCTGTGTAAGATACCTTCTACATGTGACGTAACATCACACATCATCAATCATTAATAAGAATAATATGTATATTTATATCGCGCACAGTTCCATGATAGTATGAATTCTCAAGGCGCATGCATTGTTTACGTCGTATCATAAACTGGTCGAGGCAGAATGGTGACCTTTACTCATTTTATATAATCATTTACACTAATTAGAAAATATTTTTATCCAGATATACTTCAAACACCTTTTTTTTATTTTTCTAATACTTCAAAAACATTTATAGTATTTAATTTGCAGAAGGAAAAATAGTTAATATTGCGATCCTTCTCAGTGATTGTAGCGAATAATCAATCAATGCTGTTCTGTAAAGTCTGTTCCCTGGTGTAGTTTATGTTCAAAGGGCGACAACCCAATTTAACTATAAGGGTACAGACCACCATAGATTTTAACCGCTGATTTATGATCTATGTATTTCCAGATACACCATCTAATTATAGCGCATTTAAGGTGGTTAAAATAACACAAATATTTGTTGCTTAAATACGTTACGATTCTACTCACACCACCTCTGCTGTCGGGACTGGCAAAACTGTGACAGGGCTGAATTCTGCACCACTTGATTGCAATTCTGTCAATTCGGGACGTACCGGACTGAAAATCGAGCACCCCCACACAGTAATCGTGAAATACACAAATTGGAACTAGCATATCTGATCAACACCCGACTTGTTTGTTTTACACTAAACTTGTCAAAACAAATCTCAATGGAAAAGAGGGAAAAGGGAGAGAATCTTTGGTGGGCTAGTCCCAAATATGGACACGGATTTTATTCTGGCATTAGATTTTAAACCCCATGCTTGGCGAATATATAATTTTGATTTGATCTTATAATATCAAGGAGAGAGAGAGAGAGAGAGGGGGGGGGGGGGTAACGTCCACTCGTCACAAACTAGGTCATTTCGGGACTAACACATGGTTCAATTTTATTTCAATAATTCGCTTGCGCGTATCATGTAGGGTTATTATCCCTAGAAATCTAACTTGCCTAAGATGAAGTCCTGCAGCCTGTGGAAGTGCCATTCCTGCAACAGCGACATAGGCTGATAATTTTGCAGCATGATAATGACCGACCACATACCGATAGAGTGGTTCGTGATTACAAGAAAAATGTTAACGTCAACAAATTATCTTGCCCAGCATGTTCTCCTGACATGAACCCAAATGGAGCACCTCTGCGATCATCGTGATTAGACACTTCCTCCGGCAAACCAACATCAACTTGAGCAGAATTCATTGCAAGAATGGCAAAGGATTCGCTGTAGACAGCTGAAAACAGCTACGAGTAGACATGTTTGGCAGGTATCGAAGTCAATAGTGGTCACATACGCTATTAATCTCATGTCTTGTTAAATAACCAGACTGTATAAGGACCCCCCTTTACTCGAATGTGTGTAATTTCTCTTAATCTAGACATCGTTGATCTTTAATACCGGCTTGTGGCCAGTTCACCAGTTTTAATATTTTGATATCTGCGCCAGACACCAGAAAATTATTCGTTTTCTATCAAAACTGTCTTTTGTTTGGAACATGTACTCGAAGAGTAAACATTCTTTTGTCCAGTAGTTTATAACAGATCAAATCTGGGACTTTTGTGTGTGTGTGTGTTTGGGGGGGGGGGGGGTTATTATCAAAACGAATTTGTCACCCTTTTTTGTTATTGTCCAACATACACTTTTATTAATGAAATCCTCGATTAAAGATAAAACTCGTTGTATCAGAAATAATAAAGAGGGAAATCGCAGCAACGAGCAGAGTTATTCCTAGAATACCAAGAGCTACAGCTGATGGTCTTTCATCAGAAATACTGATCTTTCGTCTCACATTTGCTGATAAAACCTTCTCATCTATTGACAAATACGACAAAATGTTCTCCAAACTCAGCCTTGACCCATTTCGTCTACATCTACATCTACACAATGGACGACCACTGATTCCTGAAAGTAAGTAAAATATAAGTACATGTACCTCAGTTGGTGGACGGTGACTCGAGTAATGGTGCGGACTCGCGAACCGAGGCCCCAGATTCCATCCTGGTATTGGCCGAGGAAGTTTGTCGGGATTTTGCTGTCATTAGTGCTGGGTGGGTGGGGTGGGGTGGGACGGGGGCGGCAAGGGACACAAGCGTGTAACCTTTCAGATGGGAAGAAAACAAGTTGTCTAGCTGTCTATTCGTTGGTGTGAAATGTCCCTCATAGCACACTGCATGGCGTATGTTTGTCTTCAATAACCGAGTTGGTGCAATAAAATAGGACGTTAAACCCCATTTCGTCATCATCATTTTTTATAACAGACTATGTTGATGATTGTCCTGGGGGTTATTTGCAATTATCTGAGTATGGATTTTTCCGGCGTGGTTCCCCCTTGTCAGTGATGCAGGACGGAGGGCCTGACAAGGACAGCTGTCTAGTCCTTCGGATGAGACGAAAAACCGAGGTCCCGTGTATACATTGGAATGCACGTAAAAGATCCCTTGGCAGTTGAAATTCGATATAAGAGTAGGCGATAGTACCGCTGCCCGGGAAAAATTTCCCTCATAGCACACTGTATGGCGTGTGCCCGTCTTCATTAGCCCAGCATCGGAGCAGAACAGTAGGACGTTAAACCTCATTTCATTTCATTTCATTTTATGAATCTTTATTTTTTAAACACACCTATCAGACATCAAGAAATGGGGGGGGGGTCTGGACAATATTGGACGAAAATTGTCTTTGAAAAGTAGTAAAATAAAACAACGAATTTTACCTGTTATTCCTGCAGTTTGGTTGGAGCTCGGTTCTGATGTTAAATTGCTACTGATAGTATCGTTGTTAACTGGTAAGATTAAAATCTTGCTTGTCGGTGGAGAATCTGTATTTTCTTGTGATTCGGCATGTGTTGTAGTACCATAACTTGTCGATTCCATGGTTGTTTTGGTATCTGCAGTATTATTTGTTGTGGTATCTTCAGTAGTCGAATCAACGGCTTCTACAGTGGTCAATTCCGCGGTTGTTGTAGCCTCTACAAAAGTCGATTCATCGGACGTAGCGGTATGCTCAGTAGTCGAATCAATAGTTGTCGGGGTATATATAGTAGTTGATTCAACAGTTGTTGTGGTATCTTCAATAGTTGATTCAGCATTATTTGTAGTATCTGCGACAGCTAAGGATACAGCTGTTGTTTCAGGAGAAGCCGTAGTTGGTGGTGGTGTTGCTGCAGGAGTGTTCGCTGTTGTCGCTTTAGGTCGACACAGCGGCTCTGGGTAATATTGCTCCACAAACCCTCTTATATCATCAGTCGCCGCTTCTCCACCGACATTAGCTGTCAATAAAACATAGCATATAGACATAGAAAAAAACAGACTGGGGTGGTCCGTGGTCGAGTAGATTTTAAGATTTTAGTAACAGCAGAGAAGAATTCTGAAAATTTAATAAACATTATGCGGACATGAGGTATCATTGTTTAAATGCACTCTTTAGTGGACATTTAGTAATTGAACATGTAACAAAATATAAGTTATGATATAGCATACCAAATATATATCTAGTAACTGGCACTAAAAGAGAGCTTATGTATTTTGTATAAAGACCCTTAATATAACACATTAGAGAATGACGAAACAGCAAGGAAACAGAGCCAGGGGGAACATCTAGAGAGGAATAAACCCTTGTTTGGTATCTAAGCAGCTGCATGACAATACATATTGTTAAATGTGTATAATTTATGTTCCATATAATAAAACTCTTATTCCCGATATGAAACTGTTACCTGTGTTTCAGCTCAAATCCTACGCTACTGTATTACGAATGAACTAACTTTGTTGCAATATTAACACAAGATACAGATACACAATTACTGGATTGATTACTATGCAACGCTTCGATGAGGACACCCTTGTTATCATCATTTGCTTTATATAAAGACCAGAGTATTGTCGTTGCCCTAGGGCCCGGTCGACAGTCAAACCTAAATTTACATACCTTATCTAAGATCGTAGCCATTTATTGCAAAGCGGCCTAGGCTGTGCACGCTCGACATTTCTTTCCTTTGTAACAACTGGAGCTTCTCCTTTGGATGAATTTCGCCCAAAAATCTGGATCAAGCCTATTTTTGTGGCGTCTTCTGGCAAGTTTCTCAGGAAACACTTGTCTACGATATCACTCCAGAAACGAACCAACGTCGTTGCATTGAAATAAATTCAATAATCGTGTCGCCATAAAAAATATTGTACCTTGTGTTAATAATTTATTCATCTCGGTATTATAAATTGACACTTACCAGTATAACATCTTTTGATAAAAGTTGTATAATTTGGCACGCTGTGCATGATGGGTTGAAAAGTATTACTTGTGTAAGGTCCTAAAATAATTAAACATTCATTGTCCTTATTGGTGAAAGATGTACAGTCTTCGTCCGGGTCATCATAATCCTGACAATATTCTTTACAGTCAGCGAGTGATCGGGGTGATTTGTTGATAACGACTTGTCCCGAACCGGTGTCATCAATCAATTTCCGGCTTTTCCTGTCTTCGAACCAACATTCACCTTGAAAATAAAAGACATCCATAAATACATGTACATGTTATTTTAATCAGTGTGGGGTCTATACCCATCCACAGCATCCAAGAAATAAAACAGGTGATTTTAATTATCGTAAATCTAAATTTCAAAATAACTAGAAAAATAAACCAAGAACACAAGGATTGTGTGAATTATGTGCATATCATGTTCGACAGTTCCACTTCACATGGGGATCACGTGGCTAAGTGGGTAAGACGCTAGCCTGGAGATCGGGTGTTCGATCCCTGCATTGGCCGAAAAAGTTCATCCAGATTTTCCGGCGTGGTTCCCCCTTGTCAGTGATGCAGGACGGAGGGCCTGACAAACAGCTGTCTAGTCGTTCGGATGGGACGAAATACCGAGGTCCCGTGTACACATTGGCGTGCACGTAAAAGATCCCATGACAGTTGGAATTCGATATAAGAGTTGGTCGTAGTGCCTCTGTCCGGGCAAATTTCCCTCATAGCACACTGTTTGGCGTATGACCTTCTTCATTAGCCCATTTCGGAGCAGAACAGTAGTACGTTAAACCCCATTTCATTTCCACTACACATAATGTCTGTCAACCAAGTACGAATCAGATTTTTCCAACCTCAAGAGTATAATTGTTTCAGTAATATTTAATAATTCATTACTGAACGTGCAGACATATCGTACTTTCGTTTTCATCAATATTCATGAAGACCTTTCCACTAAGACCTCGTCTTACAAACAAACAGAAATGTGAACGAATTGTGGACCAAATCCTGTTTTTGCACGCAAAACTGAGAAGCAATTGGGCACCAGAATAAAACATTTCAATAAACAAAGAATATGTATACCATTGTATTAAAATATAATAGAGATGCTTAATCAGAGAGACAGAGAGGGAGAGAGAGAGAGAGAGAGAGAGATAGGGTTTAACGTCCACTCGACACAAACTAGGTCATTTCGGGACTAACACAGGGTTCAATTTTATTTCAATAATTCGTTTGCGCGTAGGGATCTTTAGCAGTGGGAGGAAACCGGAGGACCCGGAGAAAACCCACGAGGTTGGACAGGCGACCCTACTCCTTGTCACGCACAGCCGGGGAATCGAAACCCCGTTAGTTGACTCAATGACAGACCGTATGATGCAGCGCGCGCGTGCTAACCATTTGGCCATCCAACCCCATTCATCACCATAGATACATGTTCAGATATACCATAGTGACACTTTATAAAACAATCTAGTAACCTGGATTAAAAAGGACACATTGACTCATCTATCTCCATGGGTAGCTGTGTGTTTAAGTAAGAACCTTCATAAGCTCTCTGTTTAATTAATGGCACCTGATAAAGATGATATCTAATCCCCTTTGTGGTTTGAATGTAATTACAACTCGATATACAAACTGAAAAGGCTGTGACAGATTAAATGTGAGTAGAGTTTATGAAGTTAATATTTACATACTTTGAGTTGATTTATTAAACTGGTATTGTTTTTAGTTGACGGTAAACGCTTATGAAAAGATTGTGACAGATTGAATGTGAGTTGAGATTCTGAAGTTAATATTTACACACTGTGAGTTAATTTAAACGGGTATTGTTTTAGTTGACGGTAAACGCGTATAGGACCACCATCAGCATTTAAAATGGCGGCGAGATCGCCATTCTAAGTCACTGAGATGTTATCATATTCACTTGTAGGGTGTTCCAGTGCCAGGGTCAAAAACTCAAACAAATGACTGTTCTTACTTATTTTTGGAATTCATTCAAGTACAATTAAACATACATTATGGAAGATTAGATAAAGAGTTGGCAGTTCTGACTATAATAGTTAAAAACTAGATAATGTAAAGGCAATTTGCTGAAAATTTCATTCAAATTGATCCACTATGAACCGAGAACTAAGCGATTGAAATTTCCGCCTAGCCTCGTTCGTCATTACTAAAGTCAGTACGATAAACTGCATAGTCTCGATTATCCACTTAATCGTTATAAGGAAAGTTATGCAGTAAATCGGCTCATAATCCACTAACGATCGCAGTCTAACGATGCCATCTAGAGTTGATTATGGTCTGGATAGGTTAATTAATGTCTAATTAATAATTTAGATAACATTTCAGGCCTAAAGAAAGACCTACAACAGACAGATTTAGCTCTTGCAGAATGTACAATTAAGCGTAGTTCTTACTAACACGGTTGTAGGCCGTTTAAGCGCATGAATAATGCAACAGTGCAACACTAGTGCAGCCCGATTCCTGGTCAAGGGGAAAACGCCACTTGGTTGACTTAATCGATGATATTGGACTGTATTATAAATCAATGCTAACTGCATGAAATTATATCCCGACGGACAGGGATTATGACAATATACCCCCCATTTAAAAAATTGCCACTTGGTTGACTTAATCGATTATATTGGACTGTGCATTATAAATCAATGATAATTGCATGAAATTATATCCCGACGGACAGGGATTATGACAATATACCCACCATTTAAAATGTGGGAGTATAAAAAGTAATTACCATAATCCTACCTATATTGATTTGACAGATATATTGGAACTGGTTGTCGCACCTGTCTGTAAACCAGGTCTCGCCATGTTTACTCCTAAATACACATTTCTTCTTTGAATCATCGTGGGCCGATGAGGCCCAGTGACTGGGTTCTCCAATAGGGGTACAATCATCCCAATACCAACCATCCAGGCCTGGATTTGACGTATTCACATAATTAAAGCCCCCTATCCAATATTTATCATTACTGGAAATAGATAAACTAATCTCTAAAAAGTCACACACGAATGATTAATTTTATATAAAAAAAAAAAATTCATTAAAGATACATTATGTAAGATTTAGATAAAGAGTTGCTCGTACTGGGGCTAACGAGGTGTTCTCACTTTCCCAGCAGCTATTGTTGTCCAGGTAGAATCATTGGACCAGTACTAAATAGGGTAACAATGGTGTTAAAACTATAGTCTTTTTCATATCAATATTAACCACTTTACATAAAAGTTATTTTATTAACAAATTTAGCATGTACATATATATTTTTCGTATCAATATTAACTACTTTACATACAAGTTATTTTATTAACAAATTTAGTATTGTACGTGTATATTTAAAATTCGACTAAGTGTGATATCGAATTTCCGTATTCATATAAAGTCGTCAAACCAGTTAATAATCTTTGTTTTTTATCATGTATTCTTCTGTTTAATTCTATGTACGTGTATTTTCTTTTCTTTGGACGTGAAACGCCTCCATTTCCATATTGTGATTTATAGTTCATACATGTCATAGGTTAAATTGAACTGGTCATGCAATAATTAAAACAGAGTATAACTCACTAATCTATAACTAATCCCTAATCCGCTTAATTAGTAAAGGGTTAATCTGCTGGGAAAATGAGAACAAACCGTCGTACTTGCTATAATAGTTCAAAAATAGATATTTTATTTTGAGCCAAGTTATCCGCCCTGCTTGTAGTTTTGACAAGTAGTGTGCATTGATTGTTTATTATCGTCACCATGGTACTGGTATGTTCGAGACTTAGCCACGCTTCTCCATATTTTAATTAAATAACTCATTAAATTACTGAACCGTTCTAATCTACTTTAATCGGAATCAGAGAGTTAATTATGGTCTTGTTTTGTTAATAAATGTCTATTTAATAATTTATGTAACATTTCGGGTCTAAAGAAAGGCGTGCAATAGCCAGATTTAGCACTTGCATAATGTATGTTTAACTTTAAAAAAGTAATTGGTTGATTATGTGTCTTTTTTTTTTTAAAAAAAAAAGGATTTAAAAAAAAAGTACGTAGAAATGGTTTCATACAGAGGCGTGCTGGGCGGGTAGACAGGAAAAAGTGCCCTCGAGTTACCTCAAGCATATGGTCATATTCCCATTGCTTTTATGAAAACAATGTGCTTTCTTTTCCTGTTAACCCTCCCCTGGTCCAAACAGATCCAGGGATACTGAGACCCAATTGTGCTCAATGCACGTACATGCACCATTGATCAATTCTTGCTTGTTGGCTCTCAGCCACATTGAGACAGAAAACTGGTTAACGCTGATGATGATCTACTGATTGTGCACCTAATATCCAAATTTCTCTGATTTCAGTTTCGATTATAAAATGTTTGCGATTTGCAACCATTAATAATAACAATTCTGTATTTAGCCGGCCTCTAAATCATTTTTTTTTCTGGTTATTTGGGTTGTGTGAATTTACTCCTAAGTTCTTCTCCTCCGCAATTAGTGAACATAATTGATTGGACCTTGACGGGTAACCTTCGTAAGGAATACCAGTCCCATTTCATGCCTGTGTTTCTTTACTCGGGGGTAGCTTAGTTCTTGATTGTTGCTAACTATGTTCATGTTCAGATCTTCAGGACTGAATCATAAGTCATCAACCAATGTATGATATATCATGGCTGAGATATACGTAAAATCGATCCTAGCATGTACCAAAGAACTGAACATTTTACGGCGTTTTCCCCTACTCTCAAATTGTCCTATTGCCCTAAGTTTGATCTTTCTACCATCCTGAGATCCCCTCACGCTTCTGGTTTGGTAACACGACACAGCACACGCACCAGACAAACATACTGACCACAAGCTATTCTCTCGACATAAAAACAACTTTTTCTATTGCCAAAAGAAGTGTCACGTGTGGTAGAACTCCCCACCCACACAGTGGCAGCTCCAGCCGTCAGTGGAAGGAGGGGCAAAGCTAGGGCAATGCCCTTGCTTGAGGGGACAAGCTTCCTCCCGAGCGCTGATGGCGTGATCCCCAGACTGCCGGAAATGCAGCCTGGGTCTGACATTACCTCCATGTCTCCCTCTAGCTACGATATAGCGCAAGAGAGAGAGAGAAATGGGCTTTAACGTCCACTCAACACAAACTAGGTCATTTCGGGACTAACATACGTTTTTTTAAAATTTTTATTTCAATAATTCGCTTGCGCGTAGGGGTCTTTAGCAGTGGGGGGAAACCGGAGAACCCGGAGAAAATCCACGAGGTTAGTCAGGCGACTCAACCCCTTGTCGCGTACAACCGGGGAATCGAAACCACGCCAGTTGACTCAATGACAGAGGGAGAAATGAAGAAGCATTTCACTGAAACTGCTAACCAGTAGACATTTCGCAATAACAACAAAAGCAAGGTAGGTACCATTTCTACTTACATGTGGTTATTTTGTACCCATAAGTCTGTTATTTCTACCATTGTTCGTTGTTGCTTGACTGTTTTGAGATGGAGTAGATTTCTATTCATTCGGTGACAATTCCGATGAGCCTCGTTCCAATTTAATTTGTCCACGTGGAAAGTATACTGATAAGCCTCAGTTTTACAATAAACTAAATGAAAAGATTTCTTTAAAAAAAAATTAAATATGCGTTTCAACAGTTACGATCCTAAATTTATACCTATCCTCCGGAGAAAATATATATGGCGGAGAAAATATATAGAAAATGGTCATTCCATGTCAAGGGGGCCAGGCGTGGGAAATTGACTCCTCGAAAAATCTGGAAAAAATATATGTTATTGTACATGTAAAAACTAGAAACGAAACAATTTGTGGTTTGAAAATTGACTGAGATTTTGAAAAAAAAAATCGAAAAGATATCGAGATGGCAAGGGACAAGAATGCTTTTAACATATGTTGGATACATTAGTGCAAACTATAATTTCACCAAGTTTCTGAATTTTAGGTGCTCATCTATCGCATTCAATCGGCTCCAAAATTTCCCAACTTTCTCAAAATTTACCCAATTGACATGGAATGACCCAAAACTATATATGGCGGAGAAAATATACAGGAGGAAGTGTGTGTGTTGAAAATCCACAAATTTTAACAAAGCTGACCTTTAGTTAGATATTGACTCCACAGGCGCTTGTACACATATCGTGCCCGTAAAAGAACCACTGACAGTTGGAATTGGAAATAAAAATAGGCCGTAGCAACCCTCCCCTGGCAAAATTTCTTTCATATTTTCCTCGTAGTACACTGCGTGGCGTACGCCCATTTTCATTAGCCCAGTCATACGGCTCTGGCCAAGTCCAATCGGTGCAGAAAAGTAGGACGTTAAATCCCATTTCATTCCATGTGTTTATCCCGGAACTTTACACTAATTGACTGTCTTGATATCCACCAAATTTATAAAATTACGCAAATAAAGTGAATCCAACACATATGCCAAACTGGTGCCACGATATCTAATTATATGTATATTTACCTGCACTCAAAATGCTCATTCCAATCGTACAGATGACAATGGGATGAAGTACGATTGAAGAATCAGAGGACAAATTATGAATACGATTTTGATTAAACTTCCTATGTCCTTTATATCCCGACCAATTCCAACTTAATGCAATTCCTCATATATGTCCAGTGTCCAAGATGACGCATCAGCGTACGGTGCACTGTCGTCCATCATTTTCATCTGGTTAAAATCCTATTTCGTTTCGTTTTTATAGTTCAAAATTTCGTTTTACTTGTCTTTACTACACTTGGATCTGGAGGAGTTGTTATTTAACTCGTGTTCTGAATGGTGTCAGGGATAAGCCAATGAAATGGTCTGTTACGGCGAACTTTAAGCGTGTTTTTCACGGAACTGTGGGTAATCCACTAGTAACATCAATGCTGATTGGTTAATCAAATGTCTGACGCCAAAAGGGTCATAAGTCGGTCTTTTGACCCCTGACGTGACCTATCGCTATAACTTGTCAGATCTTCATGTAGTGTAGGCCATCGAAAGTATAAAAAACGAAACGAAATATAGATCTGTATATTAATCAGTTTGATTGTAATGGGGCTTTGTAGTGGATTTTAAGCAGATTTGTCACTTATACTTATTCTTTATTTGAAACAAAAAGGAACCACATTTTACTATTTTGCCTTGGTTTATGCGCCTTCGATATTGGAATGGTTGCTTTAAAATGAAAATATATGGGATTAAGATCGCACTGTTCTGTCCCGACTGGGCTAATGAAGATGGTTATACGCCATATAGTGTGCTATGAGGGATATTTTGTCCGGACAGCGGCGAAACTGCCTTGTGTTATATCGAAACCCAAACTCGCAAATACTGGTCACTCCCATTTCCTGTTATATATCTAATAAAAGTTATTACTAACAAAATATTACTTACCAGAATTCGTGTTAAAACTTAGGACGAGAAGATATGGCACCGCGTAGCAAAACTGATTTGACTTCATTGTTATATTTGTTTATTACAGCATATATTACCAACTCGTTAGTACTGCTACTGGATCGACGCAATTCCCATATTGGAAACACACACACACACAGTTACGAAGCATAGAATTTTAACTCCCAATTAAATACAATAAACTTTAATATTGTCTGTTACGTAGTATATATTCTAACTCCCAAGTAAATATAGTAAAGTTTTATACTCTCCGTTACGTAGCATATATTTTAACACTTAAGTAAATATAGTAAATTTTAATATTGTCCGTTACGTTGCATATATTTTATCTCCCAAGTAAATATAGTACAGTTTTCTACTCTCCGTTACGTAGCATATATTTTAAGTCTTAAGTAAATATAGTAAATTTTAATATTGTCCGCTACGTAGCATATATTTTAACTCCCAAGTTAATACTAAATTTTAACATTGTCTGTTATGTAGCATATATTTTAACTCCCAAGTAAATATACTAAATTTTAATACTACGCGTTACGTTAACACACACTACTCACATCTTTTCTACAATCCGTTACGTAGCATATATTTAAACTCACAAGTATATATAGTAAAGTTTTCTACTCTCCGTTACGTTGCATATATTTTAACTCCCAAGTAAATATAGTACATGTTTCTACTATCCGTTACGTAGCATATACTAAATATACTAAACTTTAATACTACGCGTTACATAGCATATATTTTAACCTCCAAGTTAATATACTAAATTTTAACATTGTCTGTTACGTAGCATATATTTTAACTCCCAAGTGAATATACTAAATTTTAATACTACGTGTTACATAGCATATAATTTAACTCCCAAGTAAATATACTAAATTTTAATACTACCCGTTACGTTAACACACAAACCACTCAATTTTGTCTACTATCCGTTACGTAGCATATATTTAAACTCCCTAGTAAATATACTAAATTTTAATACTACCCGTTACATATCATATAATTTAACTCCCAAGTAAATATACTAAATTTGAACACTACCCGTTACCTTAACACACACACCACTCATTTTTTCTACTATCCGTTACGTAGCATATTTTTTAACTCCCCAAGTAAATATAGTAAATTTTAATACTATCCGTTACGTAGCATATATTTTAACTCCCAAGTAAATATAGCAAATTTTAATATCAGCCGTTACGTTAACACACACGTAAAGTAATAAACAGATATTGAAATCCATACCATTAAAGTCCTAGGAATTCAAAGTTCATTTACATAATGTCATTGAAACATTTTGTTATGGGATAACTTTCTATTAAAGCAACGTAGACTGAACAATATTTACCAACACATTGGTTGAGTACGATTTTCCGATGTTAGTGAATAAAATTTCCAATTACACAATATCTCAAATCTAACGCACTTTTGAAGAGTAGAAACAAAGAGAAAAATCTCTAAAATAAAAATAAAAAAATAACAGTAAAGCTGAATGCACACGGTGGAACATTTATCTCGACGTGCAAAAACACCGAACAAATATTTTTGTTTTTCTTGGCCGCATACGACGAACTTGGTAACGCAGACGAACAATAAGTCTAGCGTCACACAAAATCACCGCAGATGACGAATGTTTTAGCTCGGACAATATCGACCACCAAATGACGTAACATAAATCACGTAATGGCATACATATCACATACTTGTATGAGATCACTGATTGGTGCTGCGTGGAATAAAAAACGTTCCTGCGAATGTTCGGCTTCAACGCAGACAGCGAACTGAGTACCAAATATCTAACACGTTCGATTTCGCAAACATATTTTCGGAACATTTTTGTTCGTGTTTTTTTAAACCCACAGACGGCGACGATATTGATCGGAACAATGTTTTCATGAATGTACGGCTAAAATGTTCCATTGTGTGCGTTCGGCTTAAGACATACTGTATAAATAACACCTTTTCATTCCGTATTTGTTTTTAACTTCAATAATGCAAAGCTTTATTAGTCGTGTGTCCTTTTTCCTCTTTGAATGGCTGTGTAAAAGCGAAATTACATTTTGTCAAGTGTTCAGGGACAATGTTATGATTGTGGGCATAAACACGCCATTCTCGTGATCTTATCATTTCCTCTTTGGTTTTGTTTTTTAATGGATACTTTCTGGAAAATACTAGAACAATTGTAGAAAGAAAACACGATCTATATCAAATTACAAAAACGTATTGCCACAGGCCTAGACGCAGTAGCGTACCTAAAGGGCATCAAAACAAAGACAACGTTTATTTTTGTCACATCAGCTTTGATGAGTGTTGATATTTTTTTGAACATAAAAAAACCAAAAAAAAAACGTGTAGGAGATTTCATTTATTACTCAACCCTTTCTTACAAGTACAAATATATAAATATTAATTCTTTGGTATAGATTTAATTTTACTGAACCTGATTACATTACGGCGTAGTAACACATCATCTTTTGACAGGTAGTCACCCGTTGCAAAGTCACATATATTGACCCGACCCTGAGTACACAAAGCTTTCTCGGGGTTAAGTTAAGAATTTACTCAACTTTCAATCACTGTTTATGAGAAATATCTTTGATCCAGAAACACAACACTTTGCACATAGTCTCTTATTGATGTATTTGATACATTAAAACAACACAAGTTTTATAAAGGGCTATATTATAGTTAAAATAAAGGCAAACAATTTTGAGTAAATTCTTAACTTAAAACTGAGAATGCCTGGAGATTCCTTTAGGATTATGGTAAATTGATTATGGTAAATGAGAACTTTCCTCCAACAATATTACTGGATCCAAAAAGTAGCTTTTTTTTAATAAAAAAGAAGTTCCGTATTAATTGACCAATCAAATTCATGTAAAGCGATATCTCCTCAGGAGATTATGAAAGTTATCACACAAGCGATATCTACGTAGAATGTGATATTGGGTGATAAAATGGTATATATGGTGTAGGGTTTTGGCAGAACAAACAACAACAACAACATGGTCATGAAATGAAAACGTATATTATAATAATATCAAACATCTGACAAACAGATTACCAGTTATCATGCAACATGATATATACGATAAAGGCCGACAAACGGCGAACGCCGTCTTCCCTGGTATTCCGCCATAGTAGTCCAGCCTTTTTAACTC